TATTCAGGTAAATAATTTTGAATAAAACATTGAATCTAATAACAATCTAGTATAAAATAGAATTGTAGCTTTCTAAAAGTAAACCTGGGGGTGCCTGGGTGGCTCAGTTGTTAAGCTTCTGCCTTTGGCTCAGGTCATGATCCCAGGGTCCTGGGATCGAGCCCTGCATCAGGCTCCCTGCTCTTTAAGAGGCCTGCTTCTCCCTCTCCCACTCCCCCTGCTTGTGTTCCCTCTCCCACTGTGTCTCTATCAAATAAATAAAAAATCTTTAAAATAAATAAATAAATAAAAGTAAACCCGAGTTTACAATACCCGATTATCAAAATGTATAAGCATAGTTAAATATTGCCTAATATTCAAGTAAATTTATGCACTTTCTTTTCAACTGAAAAAAAGAATAGCATTCTAAAGCTATTTTTGCAATGATAAAGTTTGTCTGCAAGGAGACCCAGAGTCTAATTTTATTCTAATTCAAGAAATTGAATACTTTATTTAACAACCTGAAAATCTGTTCTTTTGGCTCTAAGTCTTGCAAAATGAGTGGTTCACTGTTCTCTGAGTATGTGTGATAATGTGTCTCTATGTGGACGTGTCTCTGTCTACAGATGCTTATGCTTTTTATAGTCATTTTAGGCCCACTTTACTTAATATATAATATATAATTTTTATTCTAACAATGCTAAAGGATGAGAGAGAGGCAAAGGGGATCACCAGGACGATTGTAAAGGCAGATCTCAGGGCAGAGGGAGGTACACCGAGCATGGGGACAATTCCAGACTGGAACAAAACAAGAGGCCCCAGGAGAGACTTCCTCAGGCAAATAAAATCTTAGACTACTAAATGTTTCCGAAATTATTGAGAAGGATTTAGACCACTGATGTAGAGTTTGAAAACAAAAAGCAAATAAAACAAGGCAATTATTAACTCTACAGAAAACAAAAATGTGTACAGGAAAGAAAAAGTAATTGTGGAATGCATAGTTCCATCATGAATAACATTTTTTCTTTAATAACACTTACACTGCCATTAAAAGAAAACATGTTTCTCTACTTGCAACACCAGACACCAAATTGGGGGAGTGGGGTTTCTCACACCAACCAATTCTCCAACTCTCCAGACATCAACTGGGGTGCCCTACAATTCAATTCCGACACTAGTTACTCGAAGTTAGTACAGACCCACAGGTTAAGGGCTCAGTTCCCCAAGACTGCACCTGCTTCAGAGGCCAGTCTCAAGGCTCAGGTTGTCACTCGTACTTCTGACCAACCAGCTATAAGGTGGAGGTTCCCACATTTCCTCCTCACGTTCAGTAATTTGCCATAGCATCTCACAAAACTCAGGGAAACACTTTACTTATATTTACTGGTTTATTACAAACTATTTAGATGAACAGCCAGATGAAGAGGCACATAGGGTGAGACCCAGAAGAGTTCCAAGTGTAGGAGCTTCTGTCTCCATGGAGTTGTGGTTCCCCACCCTCCTGGCATTTGAATGTGTTCACCAACCAGGAAGCTCTCTGAACCTCCTCGTTTAGGGATCGTATGGTGGTTTCATTATGTAGGTACAATTGATTAAATCATTGGCCACCAGTGATCGACCCAATGTCCAGAGGCTGGAAGTGAGGCTCAGAGTTCCAACCTTCTAGTCATGTCTGGGTCTTTCTATCATCAGCTCCATTCTGATGCTAGGGGCCCCCAGCCACCAGTCATGTTATTAGCTTCAAAAAGGCATTCCTGGGGCACCTGTGTGGCTCATTCCATTAAGCATCTGCCTTCCATCTGCCTTAGGCTCAGGTCATGATCCCAGGGTCCTGGGATGGAGCCCCATATCAGGCACCCTGCTCGGGGGGAAGACTGCTTCTCCCTCTCCCTCTGCCTGCCGCTCCCCCTGCTTATGCATGCTCTCTCTCTTTCTCTCTCTCTGTCAAATAAATAAATAAATCTTAAAAAAAATAAAAGACATTCCTATCACTCCAGAGATTCCAAGGGTCTCAGAAGCTTTGGCTCAGGAACTAGGGTCAAAGACTATATACTGGAACAAAAAATGCTCCTAGCACCCCTATCACTCAAGAAATTACAAGGGTTTTAGTAGGTCTATATCAGGCACCAGAGGCAGGGACCAAATGTATATTTCTTACTATGACAGTCATAACATTTCAAATACTGAATATTAATTTAGCCAACATTACAATAAAATGACATTGAAAAGTGAGACAGAAAGGGTCTGCCATGGAAATGGGGTAAGGAAGAACTAAGTTTTCATATTCCATAGTGGAAAGTACGCCGGAGACTGAGAAATCAAAAGTAGCACTACAAGCGTATAATTTAGAGACAAGACACACACACACACACACACACACATGGCTGAAGGCAGTGAAAGCAGTTGCTTTGGGAAAGAGGGGGTTTGGAAGAGAATGGGAGCAAGAACCATTCTTTTTCAAAACAAACTGGTAGAAATATCTAGCTCTTTAAACTACATGTATATATAACTTTGATAAAATCTTAAGGAAAAAAAAAATGAGAAAAGACAACAAGGAGAGAGCTAGAGGCAAATATAGCCAAGTTATTCCTCCTTGGTTTTTGTTAATAGCAGTGCTTCCTAGAAGCACGGATTCATTTTCCTCTTGCAATTAAGTATTGGAGTGCTATCCTCCATAAACAGGAATTATAATGATCTAATATTACTCATAATCTTATTAAAATCTTCCAAGTATGTGTTTTTCATAATCATTTGGAGGAAGAAAGGGCAGAAGTTAATATAGGAGTCATGTTTCTAAAATGGCTTAATCATTCCACTAAAAAAAAAAAATCATAATCTAAGATTTTCTATTGTTCAAATGTGATTGTTCTCCTAACTTTTTTTGTCTTCACACTCCTCTATCTTGTCCCTCCTGGGATCCTCAAACAGCCCCCATCCATCATATACCTCCCTGGAGGCATGGGGTGAAGGAGGCATGGGACGGGAGCGAGTGTTGGTGGTAGCATATTATGAAACACTTCCTAGGATGAGGCCAAACTGTGCTGACCTATATACCACGATTAGTGGTGTGGCGGTCCTGGGAATTGGGGGATAAAATAAAGAGGCAAAAGAAGAACATAGCAACCACTGTGTTCCCACCATGATGTGGGAGCTTACGTGTTTCCTCTTAAACTTAATAAAGGAGTTTAAAAACGCATTCCCAATTGTCCAGTGACTCCTGACAATCCCCTCAGAGAGCTCCCATCATTTTGTCTGCCTGTACAGAAACAAAGGAAATAGACTTCAGTGGGCTGTAGTGGTCAGGTGTCCAACTGGGTAACCCTAGGGAAGGATTGCAGAATTGCTATAGGAACACTGGGTGAGGGAGTGTGGACCCAGTAGGGACTGGGTACTGGGCTCCCAGGTAGGTAGGTTGGTAGACTGGTTCAGTTTCCCCCATCAGACCATAGGAATCAAAGTCAGAAGAGAGCATTTTTTTTTTTAATCACAAGGCATTAAGTAGGGAGCTCTAGGAAAAAAATACAATCTCAAATTGAACCAACATTCATTGAAAACCTAATTGTGGCTGGCATTCTGCTAAGCACATTTGCACACATCATTTTCTCATTTAATCTTATTCAGGGATGCCATATGTGCTCCAGATTTTGCTCTTTATTATTAGATACACTGTCTATACCTCTGTGTTTTTCCTCAGGAAAATACAGTGAAGCTGTTGCCATTCTGCCTTTGCCCTGAATGGGAGACCGGGATGCCACATCGCCACATGATGTGTCCCAGAGCCTGGTGGGACCAAAAGAAACCAGCTTGATCTCCTTGCCGTTTTTCAGTGACTGAGTCTCAAATTTCTGAACCAAGATTGCTGTTTGGAGTAATGAACAAGTGTCTTCTCATCTTCCTGTTTCTCCTCTTCCCCATAATATTTCTTATTTACCACCAGGGGACAACGAGTAAAGACACCCAAGCAGGCAAACATTAGAGAGTCTGAGAAAATATCATGACACTCCCAAGAAAAACACAAAAACACGATGTTCATCGTAACATTCTACGAGTTCCAATTCATTTAGAGCTGGTTTGTTGTAAAGGGCATAAAATGTAGATTTGGAAGCCCTGGGCTTGGGTTTCATTTCTGTCACTTTCTCAGCCTGTAACCTACGATTGTCTCCTCCTCTTCTTCCACCTGGGTGTGTACGATTGTAGTCATAAATACTTGCAACTCTGTGAACATTAGATGAGGCAATATGTATAAAAATATTTGTGTCCATGGCTAAGCCCTATATAATAGTGATTGAGTAAAAGAACCACAACCCAGGAAAGATACTGGAGACAAAGCAAAAGAAACACAATGCAAACTCCTTGCTATCAGCCTGTTGGTTTCCTTTTCTGAAGGGAAACATTCCCACGACATTCCTGCTCCAGAGTTTTTCCTCATTTACAAAAAACTGCCTTTTCTGTTCCTTACTTGTGAACAAATCTCAACTCTTTTCACAGCTTTTTTGTAATGTTTTGGAATCCTGCTTCTTTCTCTTAGAACATACAGCAGTACCCTGCTGCATCTGAGGCTTTTGAAAGGGGACCCGCTCGTGGAAAGGGCATCAAAACTCGGACGAAATGTCCTCCAAGTTCCCTGCCAGGCTGAGAGGCCACATCTCTGACCCTTCTCTCTTGTTCCCAGTCGCTCTCTGGAAACCTCTACCTTTTTTCATCAGTCTCTCTGGGAACAAGTCCAACTTCACCAGCTCTCCAAGAAACACCTTCAAGCTACTCATAATTTTCAATATGCACAATTATGATACCTCATTAATAAAAAAAAAATCAACCTAATAGTTCCTGATATTTTACTCCTATTCCAAGCTTGACATTTTGGCAAGTAGTGGCATCCCCACCAGCAGGGCGTCCCACCAGAGATCACCTCCTACAGTAGAAATCGAGAGGTACATTATGGCAGATGAGCCGCACTCACTGAGGACAGCCTCTGTGGAAGAGGAAGGTGGGCTCTCTGAAATCATGAATGTGCCACCTACCTTAGGCGGACGGGTAAGAACCACCTCCCCCAGAGAAGGGCTGCATTCCCAGAGATGGAAAGGAAGCCATGGCTCTGGCTTATCCATGAACTGAAACCCGCTCTGACCCAGGTCTGGAAAACACCTGGAAAAGAGAAAAGAAGTGGAAGAGAAATAGGCATCCTCTAGAGAAGGTCTGCTTCATGCTCCTGCTGATGCGTGAGAGCACCTCGGTTGAAATGACGGGGATTTATCTTTCCCTGAAGAATTGTTCTGACGTGTGCATAAGGAGGCATATATAATGATATTCTTCGCTGCTCTGTTTATAACAGCCAAAATCCAGAGGGAAGAAAAGCGTAAATGTCATCATCAGATCAGTGGTTCTTAATGAGGACAGTGTAACCCTCTCTAAATGATATTTGGGAAATTTATGTGGGTGCTTAGATTTGCACCATCTTTGGGGTTACTACTGGCCTTTATTGGTGGGAGGCCACGATGTACCCCGCACAGTGAAGAATTTTCCCAGCCAGCAAGAACTTTGGGTGTCCCGCCAGACACTCCTATATGTGAAGAACATCTGAGCCAAGAATTTAACTCAGTTATATACAAACACAAAGTAATTTTTACACAACTGTAATATGCAATGAGTTTTCTAAGAATGGAACCACCAAATAAACGGACACATCAGAACTTGGTTAAGTTTGAATCTTTGCCACAAGTTGTTCATCATCTCAGAGAAATCCTAAAATCGATAGCAACATCACCCCAAGTATTCAAATCAGCAACAAACACACCTAAATCGGTCTTCATGAGGGGCTCTAGCCCTCCCCTAAGTCCACACCTGGTGCAAACATCTGTCTACTTTATGACGTCATCTGTGCCAGTATGCATGAGCCATTTATACATCAAAATAACACACTAGTTTATTATAAATTGCGCTTCTTTGTGTCATTATGCTACAGTTAGAATACCGTACAGATTTCAAGTCATATTTTAAGTAAGCCATCTTATTTATGAATTTCACTTCAGGATAATATAGGAGGTATTTCCCAATATTTTATAAAAAGGGGGCATTGGTCCAGACAGATTATCTTTAATTACATATACTTTGGAATACTCTGCAAGAATTAAAAGGATTAGCTAAATCGGGGCACCTGGGTGGCTCAGTCGTTAAGCGTCTGCCTTCGGCTCAGGTCATGATCCCAGGGTCCTGGGATCGAGCCCCACATCAGGCTCTCTGCTCCGCGGGAAGCCTGCTTCTCCCTCTCCCACTCCCCCTGCTTGTGTTCCCTCTCTCGCTGTGTCTCTCTCTGTCAAATAAATAAATAAATAATCTTTAAAAAAAAAAGTATTAGCTAAATCTATATAAACTGATATGGAAAAATCTCTAAGACAGTTGAGTGAAGAAAACTATTTCAGGGAAACGTATACAGCATACACAGGTAATACCAATTTATATAAAGATATACGCACAAAATCACAAAACTATGTATGATGATATACACGTAGAGAGAGAAAAATGCATGGAGGAAACGTCTGAAAGTTTACAAAATGAGCCAATAACAAGGGGATAGAGTCAGGAATGGTAGTCAAGGTGGGTTTCCATTTTATTTGTAATGCTCGAATATACACACAGAAAATGAATGCAGACATCTGCAACATGATTAAAAATCGCTAAAATAAAGATTTTGAAAAGAAGTGCCAGGGGGAGGAAAGCTATGGCCACGTTCTCATGGCTGTCACTCTGTGTCCCTGGCCTGAACTTCGGGGTGACCTGGGCAGCAACAGCGGCCTCTCCTGCTAGAGCGACTTCCCGGGGGGCAAGCAGGCGCAGGGCTCTCTGAGCCCATCCCGCGGCGCCCTGAGCCCCTCAGCACCAGTCGGTCATGCCTGCATGACTGCATCCTTCTGCACGAGAGCTAGGAAAGGTATCACCTGGGTCCCACCTTTCAGTCAAAGGTTTGCCACCGCAGGGGATGGCGCTGCATTACCATTAGCTATAAAGGAGGTCCTAAACCTTCACCCAGCAGAGGAAAGCCAATTTCATGCAGCCAACAAGGTGGGCCTGAGTCAAACTGGGCTCCCTCCGTCTGCACCAGACCAAGACTGGATTAAGCATTAGGATACCCCAGACACAGAACCAGAAGAGGCAGGAGCATCAGAGGAGGATTGGGAGGAACTCCTGGGCCTTCTTTCATCATGGCAGGGTAGAGAGCTTGATGCCCTCCGAAGAGGCGGGCACCCATCCCATGATCCCACGTGACTAAATCAGAGTGCTCTTGGGGTCGGGGGGTTAAGGTCGCAAAAACTGCCCCCCTCCAGCGTTCACTGGGCCTGCCGTCAATAATAAGTACAACAAAAAAATCTGGAACTCACCCTTTGATGAGGCACCTACGTCAGTAGAGAAGTACATTCACATAGCCCAATTTGGAAGATGTTCTTAACAGAAAAAAACACATTTGTCTGTAGTAGTAACAGCTATCTCCCCAGGTTGCAACAGCCTGGGGGGCAAATGACGCATCTCAATGGCACTAGGCTCCGCGTGCCCTGCCAGTCTGGTCTGTGCATCTCCACCCCCGGCCCCCCATGGGCCTCCTCGCCCCCACACAGCTGTGCAGGGTTCTGCTCCCTCAGCTGTCGGGCTCCCCGCTGTCGCTGTCCATCCTAGCCACTGCTCCGCCTGCCCGTGTTCTCACATCACCACCTGTGCCCTGCGGCCCCCGGACTGAGAGGCGCAGTCCCACCTCCAAGGAACATGGTCTTTCCCTCAACCCTAGAAAGTCAAGCCTTTAAGTCACCGATCGCATGGAACTTCTTTCCCCCCGGGAGACATGCTTTAGACAGGTAGCTCAGGGCCAGGGTGGCCGGAGAAGCTTCCTTGATGACAAGACCACTGTGCCGTGACAGCTCACACAAGATCTGGAGACGTGTGCGGAAGAAGCCACCACCTCCACTTTCCTACGGGGCAATATCAAAGACCTGCATTCGGACTTGTATACAGTCTCATTTCTTTAGGATTGCCTTATCTCCGAACTCTTCCATGAAGAGTGGGAATTCTGAAATTATGCTGGATTGATTCTGACCTTGTTTCTGGGCCCTAATATATAGTACTCACAGAACTGAAGATCTTAACTACAAGAGGGGCTTTAGGAGACCATGTGGTCCTGCCCATTCAGGAAAGATCTTATTACCCCTACTCGAAGCCAAGAGAGCTCAAAAGACTTGCTGAGGGTCTTCTAACCAGTGAAGGATGGGGGATCAAAGTCAGAAGGAAGTTAGGATTACCCAATTAAATTAGGACATTTTTCATTTCCGTTGCATGTGAGTATATCAATGGTTCTTGGTGTCAAACTCTCAACTCCCTAAGGACCAAGAGTCTCTGGATAATAATTATGCCTGTTCCCTGCTGTTACAATTCGATGCTTCCTCAAGATTTAGTAATAAACGTGACAGTAGTCAAAAGTAATGACAAAATTAATGCCATTTTTCTGTTAACCTATTGGTTTTCCTTTTGGTTCTGAGAATTGCAAAATGACAGCATAGATGTATTTCAAGCTGGAAAAGTGATAAAGGAAGATCCTCACCAGGAAATAAAAAACAAGTGAAGAACTGAGTAAACTCGCACCTCTTCCGGACAAACACCACCTTTGGGCAGGAGGCCAGACCCACAGGGAGGACTTTCAAGATTTCGGCACCCAGGGAGAGAGCTGGAGAGCAAAGATGCGGCAGACAGTGACCTTTATTTTCAGTCCAGCTAGACTGTGGGGAGATATAAAGCAAAACCTACGTCACAAAGCAGGAGCACAGAGTAAAACATGGTGCTTAGAAGAGCAGACGGCAGGAATAGAACACATTAAATAGAGAAAAAGAAAAACATCGGCATAGTTGAAATTTTCAACCGTTTCATTCTCTTACCAAAGCAGCAGAGCAAACAAAAAGATTGACCTGATCATGCGGAACTGTCCTTGGCATCCTGCACTTCCAAGAAAACCAAGGATCTGAATCCAAAAGCCTCACATAATGACTTAGTTTCTATGGGGAGACAGAGAAGAAGGCCACATCCCATGTGGTACTTCACTGCTAATCTTCACAAATGTCCCCTTCAAGTATCCGGGCCATTTTTCATCAACATTCTACTCTGGTAGGCACCTGCCACGTCTTGACTGCTTCTCTTGTCCTCTCTCAAACTAGCCTCTGCCTGGCCTCCCTGGTTCCCTGCCTCTCACCTGCCACCGACAACTCCTTTTCCCAGTCTCCCCAGCTGCACACCCCACTCCACCAGACAAAATCCTGATTAACCATTCCGATTCAAACTACAATTCTGTACCCAACTCTGATGGGTGGGCTTTTTTCCCACACCACCAAGCAAGTCTGCAACACCAGCAGGGTGTCTTTCCATTCAATATTGACACTATCCACCCAGAAACAGTGTCAGTCCCATTTCAGATGCCAAAGTAAGTCCAAGTTGTCACCTGTGCTCCTGACAGACTGGCTGTAAATTAGGAGTTTTCATGCCCTTCCTCACGGGGCGCCTTATAGAACTCAGGAAAAGAGTTTACTTACTAGATTATCAGTTTATTATAAAAGGATGTAAATCAGGAGTTTTCATGCCCTTCCTTACGGGGCGCCTTATAGAACTCAGGAAAAGAGTTTACTTACTAGATTATCAGTTTATTATAAAAGGATGTAAATCAGGAGTTTTCATGCCCTTCCTCACGGGGCGCCTTATAGAACTCAGGAAAAGAGTTTACTTACTAGATTATCAGTTTATTATAAAAGGATGTAAATCAGGAGTTTTCATGCCCTTCCTCACGGGGCGCCTTATAGAACTTAGGAAAAGAGTTTACTTACTAGATTATCAGTTTATTATAAAAGGATGTAAATCAGGAGTTTTCATGCCCTTCCTTACGGGGCGCCTTATAGAACTCAGGAAAAGAGTTTACTTACTAGATTATCAGTTTATTATAAAAGGATGTAAATCAGGAGTTTTCATGCCCTTCCTCACGGGGCGCCTTATAGAACTCAGGAAAAGAGTTTACTTACTAGATTATCAGTTTATTATAAAAGGATGTAAATCAGGAGTTTTCATGCCCTTCCTCACGGGGCGCCTTACAGAACTCAGGAAAAGAGTTTACTTACTAGATT